TATGTATATAAATTTCTATAATATCTAACAAGATGCATTGAAGCAGCGCAGGAGCTGGTACAAAAGGATTAATTAAGAAACATAATTAGGATTCAAGAAGGGCACATGAAGCGACTTTTACATGCTAAAATCAGACAAGGATATATTAATCATCTCATTTTATATGGATGATTTGCTGGTAACTAGAAGCAATAAGAAGATGGTGGATATCACCTTTCCTTTGGATCTAGTGTAAGAAGCCATTGGAACTTAGCTCTACTACCACTTTGTTTAGAACTCTTGCTCATGCTTCTTACTTGATCGAATAAGTAGAGAGATATAAGTTTAGAGAGAGAGAAAAGAGAGAGAAAAGAGAGAAATAGAGAGCGAACAGAGAGAGATTGACAAAGAGGAGAATTAATTGGTTTGATTTCAATATTTCAATGATTTCTTCATTCAATCACAGCCTATTTATAGGCGTAATCAGGATCGGACACATCAGTTTGTTAGATGCTCTAACCTACAGATGATGATTGCGCAACTGATGCAAACAATTTCTGGTTACAATGGCCGACACCGGTAGCAATAACCGGCGAACAGAAACCCATCCGATGAACAGAAACCCCTCGTGGATCTTCTATTCAAGGGTGAAAAGTCTTTTTCCACCCTTGAATGTCTTTTCCATTTTGCTGCTGTATGTCTATTCCTTTTTTACCCTTCTCCTGTAGTACACTTGTAATGGTTCTGCGACAATATTGTGGTGGCCGGCTATGAATGCTGGCCCCCCTTTGGCTTTTTTTTATTTCAACGGTAAAAACTAATTAGGATTTATAAAAGAATTAGGTTATTTAAATTTAAAGTTTTGATACCATGTTAAGAATGATATTTGTGCATTTTATTGAATAGCATGGCTGTAGAGACTGAAGGGAAAATTTGTGTTGAAAAGCGTGCATCACATGTGACTAAGTTTAAATTAGGTTAAATGGTATAGTAGTAAAATATATCCTTATGTAATTAACTCAATCTTGTGTCGCTCTATCATGTTTTTTGTTGCTCGGGGCACTTGGGTTATATAATAGATAAAGATATGAAACTCACTTATATGAGTTGTTTAAAATGATGTTTTAAGGGGGAGACACGTTAAGAAGTATGAATCTTCAATAAAACAGAGAACTTGTGTTTTTCCATTTCCTTTTTCCTTTGTTGAAGCGTGTTAAATTTTGTTTAGAAAGTTTCTAGGGGAAATCTTTAAAACAAAATGCTTGGTTGTCAACGTTCAATGAAATAGGAAAGTCATGACTTTGATTTCCTTTTTCCTTAACATGTACTTAGTTACCTTGTGATAGCTGTCAGAAACTGTCTCCGGACAACTTTATTCATCGAGCTTTTTTGAAGTGATTTGCTCTTCTGGTCAGGAGTTTGATCTTTGTTTTCATATTCTTGCAGAGTATGATGACACTCCATCCACGGGTTCTACTTTGAAGTCAACTCTCATGTCAGATCTCCTCAAAAGAAGCACTTCATTTCGTTGGAGTAAGAAGAGCCAGAGTAGTTTCAAATCATTTAAAAAGAAACTTCAAGAAGCAACATTTGAAATGAGGAACTCTGTGTGGTAATAGTGCTTTCAGACATTAATATAATAGAGAAAAGAGAGAGTGATTTATCATCATAGGATGCAAATTTTGTAGCCTTTCTGATCACAAATTGCAAATGATCAGCTTCAGAGAGTTCGAGTAATCATTTGTGCTTTTCAGTGATAAATTTATTTATCCCCAAAAACATCCATACTGCTATTTACTTTTCTGCTCAGTCCGTGACAGATTTCGAGAAGCTCAAATATGGTGGCAGCCAACCCTAGAGTTTGATTATTGCATAGTTCGTGGAAATTGGATGCAGCAACCAAAGGGGAAAGTACATGGTTTCTTGAAGGCACCATTCTACTAATTTAATAACATTTTGCAGCAAAGACAATATGATGTAACAATCTTTTCGTTTATATATATATATATATATGAGATAGCAAATTAGCAATCTGAAAAAATCTATAATAAATTATTACTGCATTTTACTATCTTAAATTATTATATTATGTCAAGAAGATGGAGGCATCATGCGCTGAGATTGGTTTTGCAGTTTATCAATAAATTATTATTTTAATTTCTTAATTATGACTTTTACCATGATTTTCTATTTCTTAAGTTTGTACCTTTTAAAAAATTATTTTCTGAACCACTAGATATTAAAGGAAATTGCAGGGCAACTTCTGAATTGTTCGAGGACAAACTATCTCGTATCTTTTTGTTCAAGAACTCCACCGAGGAAAGCTTTTTTTTTTTTTTTTTTTTTGTTCTCTATCCCCATCTGGCTTGACAGATTTCTTCCCGGTTAAAATCTTTGCATATTATATATGTATGTATGTATATATATATATATATATATATAGACACACACATTGCTTCTATATTCATGTTGATTCTCACTGAATATTCCATAATTTGATTTTGAGTTACAATTTTTATTTTTTTATTCCAACAATAATATTTTAATTAATCAACACCAAATTTTAAAAGATACAAAATTCTATATCTACATTTCATTTTCTGTTTTTCTATATTTGAATTATATTTACATACAAAACAAAATTCTTCTATTTGCATTAATTTCATGAAAAGAAAGACTCCGTTCTTAAGGATTATGGGATTTTTTTTAGTTTCAATGCGAAATAATATTTATACTTAAATACATGATAATTCTTACTGTAATCTCGTGTTGTTATGCATGCACGTGGTTTCATGTTGTTTGCTAATGAATATCAAGGAGGAATATGTAACTAAAGATACAGTTTTTTTCTTGGGTCTGAATATTTTTTACGATCGCTTGCTACAGCAAATCTTCTGCATCTTATTCAGCGAAGAAGAAGAAGAAGAAGAAGATTAATTACAATTAATTTATTAATTTAATTAGAGAAGTAAAATTAATTTATTAATATTGTTATTTAAAATAGTGATAACGAGGTGTCAACTTGATGCTCACGTCAGTAAATTTAAAACTAACCTACATGTGATTTAATATGGAGAATTTTATCTTTTTTTATGAAGGTATAATGAGTAAAATGGTCCCAAGAAATTATAATACTTTGTATCCAAATATCACTAATCCAACGTTTATTTAAACTAATAACTTTTACTCAGTATAGATTATGGGGCAGCTTATGATCATATTTATGTTTCTCATAACTTCCAACTTAAAGATATTGAAATTGGTATTTAATTTTTTGTTTTACCGTTTTTCAGTTTCTCTTATAGTCATCCTTTGGGTTTAGGCTTAGATTTTGTTACGACGTAAAACTTGCAGTATGCATGAAAATGGTGTGTGTGTGTAATAATATCTTACGATATCCTCAGTACTAAACCATGGTAAGAGATAGAACATTATTATTAACCTTAATGGATGATGATGTGTTACCAGAACAGGAGAGGTTGTGGAATATGTGATCTCACATCGACTAAGCATGAGAAATATACCAGTTGATGTATGTATTAGGTGATATTTTTTCACTCTCACATATTTTAAATAAGAATCTTACACTGTAATGCCTTAAACCCCCAATTAAATATATTACAACGGCTACTTATTAAGAAAAATTATGTAGACATACAAGATCTAGTTGGGTATTCAATTTCCGGTCCAGACCAAAAATCAGTCTCATCCAACCCTTGATCTAAAGGAGTCAAGACCGAAACAATTGGTTCGTTTCACTCCCAGTCTAGCTCCATTAACAAAGCAGAATATGATTAACTAAAATAACTGATCCACTCCGACCCAGTTCCGATTTGGTCCAAGTCTGGACCGATTAACAAAGCATAATATATATATATATATACACACACACGTATATGTATACATACTGTACGAACTCAATAATACTACATTTATACACATTATAAACACTAATTCCAGACGAAAGAGAGAAAGAGAGAGCCGCAGCATCAAAAAGCTTTTCCAGCTTTCCTTTTCCTCCACGCAGCGCCGAGAAAATCTGCAACGCTCCTCCTCCTCCCAATCATCCAAATGACGCTGGAGCCTGGAGAAAAGAGAGAGAGAAGAAACCTTCCCTCTCCTCTTTTATCTTTTGTTTTTCTTTCTAATTTCAAGTTTTTAACACAGACCAGAAATTTTGTGGTCCAAACCAGATTAGAGCGAATGAAAAAGGTTCAGTCTTCAGTTTAAACTTTTGTCCAAATTTGATTTCGGTCCGATTTCAGACAAATTTTCCTAAGATTTGATCATAAAACTATAAGAATATATCTATATATATATTTATATGTTTCTAATTATTTCAAAATATATATTTGTTTCTAAATAATAATTAAATCCTCCAACATATAAACCATAAATTAAAACTCAAATCTTTTCTCTTTGTATCTAATTTCAAATTTAAAATAAAGTTAACAAGCCGTACGGTTTTTAAAATGGAATTTTTCAATCACTCAAATATCCTAAACTTTTCTTAGTGCAAATATTTTTTTCAAAATTTGTAATGAAAAAAATATATATATAAATTAGTGGATTTGACTAGTAATGCAAAAATAGACTTAGCATATTGTGAAAGAAATAAAATAGTAAAATGATTGCAAAAACAATTCTAATTCAACATTTAAGATAAATTCATTAATTATTTATAAAATTTAAGTGAAATTCTCAAAGTCTTAATAATTATGGTCGCATTGTACCTACCTGGTAACACATTAACTGTGACATTTTATATTAATTTTTACCCCCCACCCCCATTGGCATGCACGATCAAATTATAGTCCGACTAAGAGTTTAAAAATAAAATTATGAAATATTTCTTGTTCTCATCAAATAATATCTATTTTATTATAAAAATAAATCAGATTAGATAACTTCATCGAAACAAATAAAACTGATGAATAGTTTCAAAAAAATAAATAAATGATAAGATAATTTAATTAAATTTAAAATAAATGCCAAATTACTATACATTTTCAAAATAATTTAATGATTTACCCAACTATAATGTTAAATTTTAAAATTCTTGATGAAATACTAAAGCTCTTTTAAGATCCTATTCGATCCAAAATGTCAAATATTTTTCCAAAAAAATTGCAAATTTTGATTACATTTTAATGTATGTCTAATGTGTTCTCTGTGAAATCTAAGAGGATATTTATTTTAATATCTAAAATTATTCATCAAGAAATTAAAATATATATATATATATATAGTTACATAATGTGCATTCTATTTAAGGGATTCAATTCTCCTAACAGCGACCAAATTAATAAACAGATCTTTTCTATTAGTAAATTAGAAATATAATCTTACAATCTAAAAGAGAGCAGTTAAGGAGGAGGGAAAATAAAAAAGTTATGAGAAAAGGGAGATTCGAAACTCTAAAACTACTATAAGCATTTGAAAAACTTTATAAAATATCAATAAATTTAAATAGAATTGATGGGTTCTCCTGTTTTATAAAACTTTGATATAAAAAATCTATACATTTAAAATTACTAGTAAAAAAGAATTATCTCTTCCGTTACTAATCAACACGCACCAAACACACAAAAAAAAAAAAAAGGAAAAGATGTATAAAATTATATAAAATTCACACACTAAAATTAGAGACATTAACACAATTTTTCTATTTTGGCATTTAAAAAAAAAAGAGAAATTGATCCAAATTCTTTATTTTTATTATAATAAATTTAATAAATGGTAATCCAATGATTAAATTATTACTAAAAGTTAGTTGGAAAAAAAAAAAAAAAAAAAAAAAAAAAGCTTGTAAACGTGTAATTTTGCCCTCGAAGAAGTTTTAGTAACCTCGTAATGCCCTAAGTAGTCCGAAAAAACGAATGACAAACATAATTGGATTAGAGGTTAGTGGAAACCTCCCTTTATTTTCCTACATCACTTGGGAAAGAATAATGCTCAAATCTACAAGTAACCAAAGAAACCAATACCATGATTAGCTAATAAAGATTACACAGAGAACCTGAAGCATCACTAATCTCTAGAGTACACTAATCATCAACTACACGTTGAATCAGAACTAATTAACAAATAAGTTTTCTCTGTCCCTTTCTTCTTAGCAGAGCAACCCATTACCCTTTTTTCGCAACTTTTACAACGTTTCCTTCCGCTCCATTTGAAGCAAATTTAAAGATTCCATCCATCCCCTCCCCTCCTCGGATCAATTAAAAAATTCCAGACCCCACAATTCAACGGCTTTCTATTTCAAGTACAGGAAGCTACTAGACCATTCAAGCCCACAGACACGTGTCGCGCTTACACCCGCCCACGTGACATCCCTTCCCTTCCGGATTCCCCTTGCCCTCGGGTCAATTCCCACCTATACCCAACAATAATGTTTTTTCACTTACCAAGTTCCAGCCATGAAGTCTCGTGATTATCAGAGCTACCATCTAATGGCTCACATTTCACTTCTGACCCCGGCTCTATTTCCTCCTCCTGCACCCCTTGACTCTCTTCCTCATCCTCTCTCCTCACTCGCTTAACCCCAATTGAAACCCCGAATAGCCTAGGGGTCACCTCCTCATCTAGCTTCGCTGCGATATCCTCCATCTCCATCGGCTCCGCCGACTGCCTTCCTGGCATCAGCTCCAACGCCTGCCCCTCCTGCGGACTGCTGCCCTCCATCTGGCTGGAAGCGTAGTTCGTCATCAACGCAAGTATGTTGTTACACAACCCCTTCAGCCGCGTCAACTCATCACTCAGCTGCATGTTTTCTTTCCTCAGCCTCTCGTTTTCCTCAATCAGCTCCGGCGCCGTGGAGCAGCTCGTAGTTCGCTGCAGAGTCGCACCGGCAACAACTGCTCCGGCCACGGGAGAAGAACTTGCTGATATCACTTGTTCTTCGCCGGAGTTCGACGGCGACGCGGCATATGCAACAGTAGGTGTCGCCGCCGCCGCCGTCACCGACGTTGCCGGCGCCACGGCAGGCTGCGAGATTTTCCGCCGCTGTATGTCGCGCAGCAGAGCTTTCTCTCCTCTTCGAAAGCAATCATTCGCAAATTCCCACCGATCGGGCACCACCTTTCTAAATCCCTAGAGAAAATAAATTGATTAATACGTGATAAAACAGCGAACTAAAGAAATTAAGATTAACGAAGGCGGTAAAATAGGGAAAACAAAAGATTAGTTAAACCGTGGAGGATTAACATATAGCTTACGTAAGTATTGAGCTGACGAACAAAGCTAGAGAAATTGTTGTGCTTGAAATACTTGGGAAGCAAATCCCGCGCGAACTCAGCGGGGCGCCACACGATGAACGTAGATCCGTCTTCGTTCCAGGAAATCAGCTCATCGACAGACGGATCATCCACCAGCTGGTAGGTCTTCGTGAGAAAGGGAGTCGGCAGCGATCTCTGCGACTCGCCGGCCGGTGATTCGGCAGTTTGTTCTCCCGGCATGGGTTCGGTCAGCAAGTTCCGAACCCTAAGTTACTGGAAGTTTCGAGACGGATTTCTTCTTCCTTATGGTTTTCCTTTTTCTTATTCCACAACTGATTCATGGAAAGTTGAAGATCAGATTCTTATTATTTAACGATAAAGGTACCTCTAGTAATATGAATGCCGATGAATTTCCTGTTTGAAAACTAAGAAAACAAAAGGCGTCTTTTACATTAAGGTCTACAAGAAACTTGAAGAGGACAAAGACGTAAAAGGCTCCAGGTTTGAACCGACAGATTAATTCGATACGTGTGAATCATTAATGAAAAACAGAAACAGCATGAAATAGGAGCAAATTAAACGGTTATCAATCTTTCAATTAACTTTTCGATATCAGTTCTTGTTAGGAGAACCTAGACAAGGGGAAGGGAAAGACGATTGAAGGAATGATTGTACCTGATGGAGATTCAGTTTTTCGTCCCTTGTCAAAGGGAAAAAAAAAGGAGGAACTCTGTCTTCGTTTATCCCCAGGACCAAACAGGAAGTTCATGGAAAGAAGAAAGTGATGTTGATGATGATGAGACGACGAGCAGAAATGATCGGAAGATGCGGGTTGAGATCTCAGGAGAAAGGCGGGGAGAGTTAGGTTTTATTGTTTCTAGAAGGTTCTGGGTGGAGTATACGATAAGCAGGAGGTGGAGAAAAGGGCAATCGTGGGTTCGAGAAGAACAGGGAAAATTATAGAAAATAAAATATTATAAAATTGGTAGGACCCACACGAATTGCTCATTTAGATAGAGAGAGAGGATGTGAAGGCCCGGGAAGAGCGTAAGGGTGTAATGGCTACACTTGTATTGAGGTCTTCTCTAGAAGCTTCACCTTTCTTCTGTCCTTTTTCTTTAATAATAATAATAAAAAAAAATTAAATAGATAAATAGAACATAATATAAAATATATATATATATATACATATTTAGTATGTAAGCAATAGTTTAGATATATTAAAAAAAATAATATTTTAAGTTCAATAAATTAGTAAATGGTATATTACTCATTACTTAACTTAAATAGTGAGTATATTTATTTATATAAAAAAAAATTAATTAAAATCGGTTATACTCTTGTTTATATCCTTATTTAGAGGTCATTAGCATAATACATTGCCAATTAGTATAAATTATTATGTTCATTTGGATTGAAGACGTGCTAAATAATAAATAATACTTTTAATTAAATATATATATATTTAGTTTTTTAAAATTATCATATTCAAATAATAATTTTTAATATTTTTAAAAAGTTTACAATAAATATAAGACTAAAAATTATATAATATAATCTCAGTATATTTTTTGTTACGAAGGTAATAGATTCATTTATAAAGAAGATATCATTAGTAATTAAAACAAAATAATTATGATCTAATATTTAAGTAAATAAACTTAAATAGTTATAAGTTACTTAGGCACCAAAGAACTAACAAATATTCTTGATAATTTTCTAAATTTAAAGACACATAATCACATTTAGAAAATTATGATTTTGAACTATTTCAAAACATAGTATAAGAGTGTTGTTGACTACGTTTGTCAAGACAAGCTGGAAAAGATTACTTAAATACAGAAGTTTTCTTAGGAAAGATAAGACGACAAAAGTATATATAGATTTTTCTCACTCAAGTCATGCATCAAAGGAGTGGGTTATTAGTAGAAAGTTTTTTATGGTTACAAGATTTTTTCAAATGCAAGGGAATTGCAAAACATTTTTTAATATTCATGGACTTACGAAAGAGCAATGAGGAAAAGCTAGTGTGAAGAATTTGAACATCTTTATCATTTTCAACTTGAAGTTGATATTGCATCCTTGTAATCATCTAAATATTCAAATCAGTAAGAATTGAAATAATATAATGAGTTATTGTAATATTAGCAGTAATATGGATATAACTAACTTACAAAAACAAAGTTAGTTATAGAATAGTAATAACCACAAGGTACTGATAGAGTCTAGAGCACACCATATTTGCTTGATACTGCTAAGGAAGTTGGCTACGATTACAACAACAATGATTGATAGTATGATTACTATACTCAAAGAACTGACATGCACTTATGCAAATATCACTAAATGCTATTACTATTTCTATGCTATCAAAATTATGGAGAAGAATCAAACATAGAAATGAGTAACAAACTAGGCTGAGTATGTAACATCCCGAATCCGATATTTAGACTCCGAATAATGTAATTAAATCTCTAAAACAATAATAATAATGGTAGAGTTTAATTTTAATTATTTTTTTTAGATATATAGATTTTGAACGAATTTGAAAATATTTTAGAAAGCATGGTGTAACTATAAATAAAGGGGGTGTGTATTTGAAAGAAAAGTTTGAAAACATGGACTAAATCGTAAAAAGGAGGAATGCAAGCCGTGTAGGACAGTCACGTCAACAGCACGACGAGTCAAAATGTGCCGCTTGATAGACATGCTGGTAGGGGCTCCACGCGGGAGCCACGCGAGGGATTCGCATGCCAGGGCAATCAAATGGCCCGTGTTCACTCTGGCATGCACGAACAGTCTGGATTGATTTCCTGGATAAGTGCGATCGGACGGCTCATGCATCTTCGATCGAAAAGCCTAGATTTGTTTCCCTAATAAAGGCGATCGGACGGCTGAGGAGAATCCATGCGGGCTCGGATGAACTGTCCAGAGCGAGGGAGGGGGTATTTAAGCATCTCTTCCACCAAAACCCTAACTTTAGCCGAACTTATCTCGACGGAGAAGAAGAAAAAGGGCGGCTGGAGGAAAAGCCCAGTCGCCTACACCACCGCACTGGAGATCCAAAATGGACCAGTGAGTTCGATATTTCTTCCCATTTCTCTGCCCTTTAGTCGCCTAACACTTTTTTGATGTAGAATAATCGAAAACAACCGCGACCTGCAAGGAAGAACGACGGAGCTTAGCTGAGGCGTCGCATTGAAAGGCCGACATTACAAATAAGCTTTAGTTTTTTTCCTCTTTTTTCACCGATAAACACTTCCTAATCATGATTTAAATAGGCTTTCACAGAGAATTGGCTAAAAATGGCCTAATTGAGAGGAGGAACCACCGGAGAAGGAGGACCAGGCAGCGGAGCACGACAGCACCACCCCGTCGGAAACCCAACCTGTGAGAGTTTTGTCTTTTTTTGGCCGTTTATCATGTATTTTCACGTTATTTTGATGTACATTTCAATCTTAACAGGAAAACTCAAGAAATCCAAGAACCAAAAACTATGGGAAGCGTAGTGAAAAAGCGGTATTCTGGATACCAACTCAGGGTAAGAATCCCTCACTTTTTTTTCCTGTTATAGTTAAATTGAAGCTAAACTAATAATAAATAGAAATTTTAGTTAATTGGTGGTCCTTTAATTAATTAACTACAAGTTTTCAATAGAGCCAGTAACCGGTTAGTTTATGCATGTTTTGAGTTTTAATTGTTGTAGTTATTTATTCAGATGTTTATTATACTTATTTATCCACTATTCTATTTATTTAAATTTATTCGTTTTAAGTCTATGGCTAACGTGATAAGTTTTTCTAATCTATGTTGTCATGTCGTTCTATTGTGTGCATGATATGTTTCTGTCAGTATAATACATTTCACTCATGTACACTGAAATATGAATTCTATACTCATGTATTGCTTGGAATGCAGATAGATGTGTCTTTTAAGGCTAAATAGTAAATAAATAAAAAGATATGTGTGAATTAATGATGTTGAACGACAAGGGCTATCGGGTGTCATGGAAAAAAGTGTATAGACTTGGTACATAGGATGAACCCTACTGTGAACGTTATCTCAGTCGTACAGGATTAAAAAGTCCCATATCGCACGAGATTGGGAAGTGTTTAAATTACGTTCATACCGAACATGATATTGAGGTGATTGTGTGTTGTGGTGCCCATTATCGGATGGGGTATGTGAACGATCGTTTAATTATAGAGAAAAGGTTCGTGTCCACGTATAGTGGGGATCTCTATGGACCCCCAGCGACACTGATAGAAAGATAGAATGATAAAGATGATAATGATAAGGATCCGATTTAGAAAAA